AGCGCCCGCAGCTGCTGCACAGCCAAAGATACAATAATGAGTCTGCCACTTTAGTTATCATCCGCATAGATAAACTTCGAGAGATACACAGAGATACATGAGAAAAGATAGCCATGTTTTTAGCAAGCGTTTATGGCCAAACATAATAATAATTGTTTCCATTGGTCAAATTGGGGTGTGTCCAAGTTGTTCACTAAACACTCAAAACACTGGCAACATAGAGATGTAATTCATGTCCTATAACTGAGCTTATACCTATGGCTTATACGCATTAGTACATAGTTCTACCATATAGAAAAGGTCTTACTTGCAAATAATTAACATTCATTAGAAAGTTACTTCTCCTACTTCTTCTACATCTTGTTTATTTTTCTCTCTATATATATTTAATTTAGTAAGACTTTAGATGTTATCGGCTTTATCAAATGGACAGGTGAGACCTAGGGCTGGGCAATATATCAATATTATATTGACAATGGGATAATAGACTATATTGGATGCATTTTGGATATCATATTACGGCAAAATCAGTATTGTGTGGGTTTTAAAGGCTGCATTACAGAAAAGTCATGTGGCTTTCTATTTTTTTTACATGTTTCCACCAAGTCATTATATCCACAACACTGATGATTACTTATCAGAAATCTCATTGTGTAAATATTGAATGAAAGCACGATAGTCAACCTTAGAATATCCTCAGCTACACCTGTGGCAAATACAATTCTTATTGTCCAGTGAAACCTGTTAACAGTTTTGTTTCTGTCTGGTCTGGAGCTCAATTTGGTGTTTTGAGGAATAACTAGACTGCATCTAAGAATCTAAAATCCCAACGCTGCTCCTGAGGCATCGTTGTGAAAGATTAGAGTCAAAGTTGTATTTTTAAAGTCAGTCTGTCACAGAGATTGTCTATCACTGTAGCATCTAAATTCCCCTTTCAGTAGTCATGCTCTTTCATGTAGATTTTGGGGATTAAATCTATTTGTATGTATTCCCCAGGATTAACATGTCAAAAGTACATCTGGGAAATCACAAAAAGATCAGTTTTTGTGAGTTTTCCACAGCACAGCGGTGCCAGTAAGCTTATTCTCCATGCACCTCTGCCCTCTTTCTGTGCGTGTGCACCTCACACTGTGATGAAAGACTTTTTCTGGCTCTTATCTGACTCTGCAGTGATTTATGAACAGAGCCAGACACGGGGTGAAACAAGGGAGAACACCAGCGAGTTACAGAAACGATGAGGCGGAGAGCACGGCACCGCGTGTAAATCTAATGCTGCACTATATAATCGTTACAGCCCAGGGTAGATTATGGCGATGATTATGAATGCATAGAGATCGTATCAAATCTAATCATGGCCAAAGAGGATTTTGTGCGTTTGTCATGGACGTGTGTCTTTATCCATATGTGAGTCTCTGTGTGGACAATCTTTGTTACATAACAGATCTGCATGCATATGGGTCAGAGGCGCTTGATCAGCATAATGATGGTGACAGCATGAAAACATGACAAGCTTTTAAACTAGGGGTATTGAGATTTGGAGGGGGGTTGTTGTTGTTATTGTGTTCTTCGCTGAACTGTCTGAGGGTTGTGTGTGTTTGGAGTTTCGTGAGTGCTGATTATGCGTGAGGCTGTGTTATATTTTATGACAAGATTGAACAATGTTTTAATGTTGAGGTGATGAAATAATGATAGATTACGGTTACACAGATCTTTTATGCGCATGCCTTATGATGGGATGAATCTGAAAACATGTTTGAAAGGTTATTAGAAAATGATGGTTTCTAATATGGCAACTTTGCACTATTTGTTGATTTTTATGGTATGTTTCAACCCTTTAACGCAGGGATTAAACATCTTTGCTTACTCATACAAAATGTAACCAGGCCTCATTTTATATATTTATGAATGACTTTTTTTGCAGCCCACTTAAAGGTGGGGTAGGTAAGTTTCAGAAACCGGCTCGAGATACACTTTTTGTTATATTCCATGGAATGCTCTTAACATCCCGATAGCAATGAATATCTTAAGTGCTTTGACAAAAATCCATAAAAAAATGTCATCTGTGGAACCCGCAATACTGTAAAAAGCACGACCAATCCGTTTTGCCGGCCCGGCTAAACGGATTGGTCGTGCTTTTTACAGCATTGCCGCCCTGTCTGTCAGCCTTCCATCTCGTGCACGCACAAATGTATCTCGTGCCCTCATTGGGCGTGCCATCATTGGGCGTGCATTGCAGCAGTACTTCAATGACTCGCCAGCAACAGGCGGCACACCAGCGCTGACGTCATGTGCGTTCATGTGTGTTGGAGGAGGTGCTCTGTAAGGAAGTCTGAAGGAAGGGGCGGATTCTGTGTACTTTCACATTTTAGTGCACTCGAGCCGGTTTCTGAAACTTACCTACCCCACCTTTAATAGATGTAAATTGAGTTCTTGTCTCATTTGACTAAGTTGGGTAAAAAATCTAGTTTCTGATAATATTAACTCACAGTTTTCTCACAGAATCTGGAATCTTGAATCAGTGCGAGTAGACTTTTATACAAATAAAACTTGATGGTGTCTGGGCTCACACACTGCTGTGTGTTATTCTCATGCTGTGCTGTTATCCTCCAACTCACCAGTAATGACCAGAGTGTGTGTGACCCCCGCCTCGTTGAGCATGTGCTGGATTGTGGTTGTTGTAGAGCCGTGAGCGCCTGGCCCCTTCCCGCTCTGTGGGTTCACCAGCAGCATCATCCGGCTGGGACGGGACAACGCGCTCATCATCACCCCTACAGGACAGGACACAAGACAAGGGTTTCAAATCAAGGCTTTCTGTTAGAAAAATATCACTCGTCACCGACTTGAGCTTCAATGTCAGGATACATGTATTTATTATGCTTGCAAGAATGGAAGTAGTCATCAGAGCATATGGTACAACTACTGTATGTGACAACGATTAACATGATGATTCAGCCTCTATGGAGATAGACATATGACAAGCATGATCATTTCTGACGTGGGTCTTAGCTAATCTGAACTAAGCATAGAATACTGCTTTGAACCGGTATACATCTTGTGAGTGAATAACACCCTCTCTTGTATATAAAGCATCTGAAGGACACTGCTCTGGGAACTACAGTAGCTATCATATGTCTAAAACAGTCCTGACGCTCTTCTAGGTAATCATACATCCGGCTACGTACACAGCTACGTAGGGCCTTTGTTATCATGTGCTACTCTGATATTAGAAGAGTACATTCAGTATTTTCCCAACACTTTCTTATACAGTTTTTCAAACATTTGGACTGAAGGCACAGACTCTCTTCACAGTGTAAGTCTTACAGCTGCCTCCTGTTAAACATAGTTTTATTTTTCTATTTACATAATATGTTATTTAGTTTACTTATTCCGACATTTTACTTGCACCATTGATTCATCTGCAGTTTTTTACTTTCTTTTTATCCAGGGTCTAAAGATGTTCAGTTCCAACAACTACTGAGTTATTTTTCATTTTTCAAACAAACACCCATTTTTTGGAAACATTTTTTATTATATTTCGTTACACAGATGCTCATCTACGAGTTATTACTTTTCCTTTATCTCGTCGGCTATGAGGTCTGTACTTTTGTCTTTTGTTTTGCATGCGAACTCTTGTAAAACCTTTTTGTTTGCTCTTACAAGGAACTCAAGTTCCTATGCAGCAAAATCCAGACTATGTTTACCTGAGTTTTTCTTTATTCTCATATTTAAGCTAAAGAAGTTGGCATTTTATTAAAGTAATGTTTGCAAACACTCTTATATTTTAAGGCTAATCCCCCAGAGGGCTGGTTTAGTAAGCATCACAAGCAGGGAACATTTCTAGAGTGGAGGACAGCAGATTGGATTTGCAGACACACAAATGTAAACACCTTTCAGTGTTTCCCCTGCCATTGTCTTGGAGGGGCGCTGTGCCCCGCCAACGGAGCCCCGCGGCCCCCCTGAAATTCAAGGTGTTTAAAAAAAAATATATATAATTTTTTTTTTTTATAATAATCTTTTTTTTTTAAATTGCAACTAATCTATATCTACTGTCACTTGTCACATTGAACATGCACTCTTTTATTAAATAAACTAAACGCTTTCATTTTAAGTTGTGAGTTTAGTGTTTTTGACCCAAGAAACACTGATGCATTAATCAATAACAATAATCCACAGCTCTGCTCCAGAGGATTGAAAAATATATATATCCCCCCCCCCCCCCTCCAAAGCAGTAAACCTAGGGGAAACACTGCATATCTTCAAACAGACTTGATGGATTCTGCTGCAAAGGAAAGTCAGGTGCACAAAGGTTGTTGTTGCTGTAAAGCTGAATATATTATACCAAAGGAAAGAAGCTCCACAGTTCAACTCAGGACCAGGGGAGAGGAGGTAATGATGGTAAAATGCTGCAATGGAAACCCTCACATATTCATATTATATCCCAGAGTGTCTTTAAGAGGCACAGCAGGGGGCTGGAGGAGGAGGAGGAGGAACTGGAAGAGGCTGGCTCTGGTGTGGGGAGGATACATCGAGAACTGCAAGCATCAGACTTTGCCATTCCAAAATAGGTTTTAAATTAATATCTGAGAGTAGACAATGTGAGATTGGATGATATATGGATATGATAAAGGCGCACAATGATTAAACTATGCTCAACAGGGAACTGGTCGTTCTGAGAAAAGAAGATATGTACTTCTCGGAGACTTCGACCTCCAGACAGGGAAGATATCTGAACTAACATCTCTGTTAACCACCTTTGCTTTCTCACTGTCTCCGTCCCCACCAACTCATAAAGCTGGCAATGTCCTTGATCTCATATTCTCAAGGAACTGCGCTACTTCTAACCTCTCTGTAAACCCGCTCCACACATCCGATCACTTCTTCATTTCATTCTCTCTACCCCTTTCCAAACATAACAAACTAATCTTTTCTCATCCTGCACCTGTCCGCCGTAACCTTCGTTCCCTCTCCCCCTCTACCTTTGCCTCATCGGTGCTCTCAGCCCTCCCTTCCACTGACTCGTTCCAACTTCTGCCTCCAAACTCTGCTGCAGAAACTCTCCTCTCTACTCTCTCATCCTCTCTGGACTCTCTCTGTCCTCTCACATCTCGGCAGGCTCGTCAGTCCCCTCCTGCTCCCTGGCTAAATGACGCACTGCGTGCTAATAGACCGTCCTTCGGGCAGCAGAGGCGGAAACGGTGGAAATCCAAACACCATGACGACCTCCTAACCTATCAGGCTCTCCTCTCCTCTTTCTCTGCTTCGATCTCTCAGGCAAAAAGCACTTTCTTTCAAGATAAGATCCAATCTTCCTATTCCAATCCCAAAAAAACATTTTCAATCTTTTCCACCCTCTTGGACCCCCCCAAAGCCCCTTCCCCCTCCTCACTTCTGTCAAGTGACTTTGTTAACCACTTTGAAAAAAAGGTTGATGATATTCGCTATTCTTTTTCTGACTCACCTTTACTCACCGCTGGGTCACCAGACCCTCCTTCCACCCACACACTGACCTCCTTTTCCCCTCTCTCTCCAAGTGAGGTTCTTACCCTCATTACCTCCTGCCCCCGCCCTACCACCTGTCCTCTGGACGCTATCCCCTCAAACCTCCTTCAGACTATCGCTCCTGATATTCTTACCGTTTCTCACCCATTTCATCAACACTTCTCTAACTTCTGGTCACTTTCCAAATAGTCTTAAGGAGGCAAGAGTAAACCTCTCCTAAAGAAAACCCACTCTCAACCCGTCTGATGTTATAAACTACAGGCCTGTCTCTCTCCTCCCGTTCCTGTCTAAACACTTGAACGCGCTGTCTTTAAACAACTCTCCTGTTATCTCAATCAGAACAACCTTCTGGATCCGCACCAGTCTGGTTTCAAGGCAGGTCACTCCACAGAAACTGCTCTCATTGCTGTCACGGAGGAACTGCACACTGCCAAAACTGCATCCCTCTCCTCTGTCATCATCCTGTTGGACCTGTCTGCTGCATTCGACACGGTGAATCATCAGATCCTCCTTCGCACTCTCCAAAAACATGGAGTTTCAGGCTCTGCACTTTCCCTCCTCACCTCATACCTCCGAGTCCGACCCTTGTCAATTAACTACAGGGGTCCCTCAGGGCTCTGTTCTTAGTACCCTCCTCTTCTCCCTGTACACAAACTCGCTCGGATCAGTCAATAGCCCGCATGGTTTTTCATACCACTGCTACGCTGATGACACCCAATTAATTCTGTCCTTTCCCCGCTCCGAGACCCAGGTCGTCGCACGCATCTCTGCTTGTCTAGCTGACATCTCTCAGTGGATGTCTGCTCATCACCTCAAGCTCAACCTTGACAAGACTGAACTGCTTTTCCTTCCGGGAAAAGATTGTCCCACTCTTGACCTAACAATCAACATCGGCACCTCAGTTGTTTCCCCGACTCAGACTGCAAGGAATCTGGGTGTGACCCTAGATAACAACCTGTCCTTCACTGCAAACATCACTGCTACAACCCGTTGCTGCAGATACACGCTTTACAACATCAGGAGGATACGTCCCCAGCTGACTCAAAAAGTGACTCAGGTTCTGGTCCAGGCTCTCGTCATCTCACGCCTAGACTACTGCAACTCCCTCCTGGCTGGTCTACCTGCATGTGCCATCCGACCTCTGCAGCTCACCCAGAATGCAGCGGCTCGTCTGGTCTTCAACCTTGCAACATTTTCCCACACCACTCCGCTCCTCCGCTCCCTTCACTGGCTTCCGGTAACTGCTAGAATCCACTTCAAGACACTGGTACTTGCGTACCATGCTGCGAATGGATCTGGCCCTTCCTACATCCAGGACATGGTTAAACTGTACACCCCAGCACGTGCACTACACTCTGCATCAGCCAAACGACTCGCTGCACCCTCGCTGCGAGGGGGACCCAAGTTCCCATCAGCAAAAACACGTGGGTTTGCTGTCCTGGCTCCAAAATGGTGGAATGAGCTCCCCATTGACATCAGGACGGCAGATAGCTTGCACATCTTCCGGCGCAGACTGAAAATTCATCTCTTTCGACTCCACTTCGAGCGATAGAATTACTCACAAAGCACTTATATACTAATAATGGACTGGCTTACCTAAAGCCAGTTGAGTAGCACTTGAAATGTTTTAGCTCTATGAAACCTGATGTACTTATATGATTCTGTTTTCTTCAAGGTTGTGTCTTCCTGGTCGAATGTACTTATTGTAAGTCGCTTTGAAAAAAAAAGCGTCAGCTAAATGTAATGTAATGTAAAATATATGACAATAAATGAACAGTAACTCAAATATTAAAGAAATTCAATTATTGATTCACGTAAGAATGTGTTAGAAATGTGAAGCAAAGTTATTATCATTACATCTGTTTTTGTCACGTCTCAGCCGGGAGAGAATTCAAGTAAAAAAAGTGACAGGAAGCCATCAGGCGCATTTGACAGGTTTCAGCGGTGGGACAGCTTTACAGAAAAGCACACACAGTGCTCTCTGTTGTGGAAACGCCACGCTGCAGTAAGACTGCTTTCCATGTCACGCCTAGTTAACTCACACTCACACAAACAAACAAACAAACAAACAAACAGTTTCAGTGAAGCAGCCGGATAGGCAGAAAACCCGCAGTGAGATTCCTCCTCACTTGGTTTTGCAGTCTGCTGTTTTGAAAAAAAGATCAAAACTGTGTGAGCGTGGAGGGAGGAAAAACCATCCAAACAAGTCTGACAGTAGATAAGTGAGTAACGATGGGCGGGATCAACTGCAGTCAGGGCTGAGCTGCTC